TTTGTACTATGCATTGGACAGTCGTAAAGCTAAAAATATTGTAAATTTCTGATACGCGAGGTAATTTCAATTCTCGATTCGTCAATCAACAATCTAGTAAAGGAATTTTTTCTCCGCTTTAATAATACTTTAAACTGGTCAAATTTATCATTATGTGATCTCAACCTTTTATAATCTAATTATTATTAACCTATTATTATCAAATTGAAATTGAATTCTTTCAATTCTTTATGGTCAGGGGCGGAGCCAGATACAAAAGAAGTGTATCTTATGCTCTTTGCTATTCGCGCGGACATTTACAAAGAGCTTTCATCTCATTAAAAAAATTTAATGTCAGCAGAATTAAAATATATTTTTGCGGTCCCACGCCGATTGTAAAGCAAATGGCGCCGTCAACGAACGCTGTGTTAAGGCCCATTTACACGGTGCCAGTTTCTTGCCTGTTGTATACAATTAAATTGAAGCAATAAATGAGTTGCATGGTCTAAACAAGAAATGGTCTAAACAATTATTGCGCGCAATTTATTGCATTCAATTATTGCTCTTGTATGTTCAAGAAAATGGCATCGTGTAAATGGGCCTTTACGCTGCTTAATCATTGGCATGACATGACGTACATCCCTTGTTTATGCCGTTCGAGAACAAATATCAAATATATTTATAGAATTTGTGTGCTTATGCCATAAGGAAATTAGCTCTTGTCCTTTATCGAAATCAAAAGTATTGTTTTATGGATTGGTGTATGTAACCAAATTGCATGTCGAAAATGTTGCGATCTATCTTCACTAAAGGTTTCTCTGAGGGGACTTAAAAACCAAAGCTGTTAACAACGACTTGTATAGTTTTTTTAATGTTGATGGTGCATAGAAATGGGCGACAGTGTTTGCATATAAAATATGCTTATTATTCCTTGCAGCTTTTTTTGGGATAAATTCTGATTGACTACGACTTTAACACTTCCAATCAATAAAGGAGGACCGTTGTAGAATTTGTATAAAATGATGTTACACATCTTAATGGTATGTATGACATTAACATAGATGAGTCATAGTTACCAGTCTTATTCAAGACGTTCTCAAATAATCTTATTGTTATTAGGCAGAAATAATAGATTTTAAATCATATTGTATATCCTTAACAGTTAAGTAAAGAGGAGATAGAAACTTATACAAAAGTTATTGGCCCCGTTCGTTATCTAGATCGGCGGCGCGTACGTGAAATGAACGATAAAAAGTTACGCAGAGAAGGGGGGGATATGGGGTTGCGATGGATATCTGTTTTTATTACGAAATTGTTAATGGCTTTTCTGCGTCGTCTATTCTTTCTTGTTTAGTAATCGATTGTCCTCCTTCACTACATAGTATAAAACAAAGTCCCGCTGTCTCTGTCTGCCCCTATGTATGCTTAGATCTTTAAAACTACGCAACGGATCTTGATGCGGTTTTTTCTACTAGATAAGAGTGATTCAAGAGGAGTTTATATGTATAATATATAGCACACATGCGAAGCCGGGACGTGTCGCTAGTTCACGATAAAAAGAAAACTTAAAAGAAGCAGCCTGATTAAAATTGAACATTTATGGCAGTTTTTAAGTTCTTATTTAATAGTAACGTTTGTCACATTATTTTGATAATCGATTAAATATAAGAAATCTTAAGACTCGATAGTGATTCAAGAGGAAGGTTTATGTGTATAATAAATTACACCCATGCCAAGCCGGGGCCGGTCGCTAGTGTTTTATAATATCAACCAAATGTAAACTAAGAAAATAAAAGACGCCTTAGTCACACCTCCCGCTACATAGGCTGTTTACACTATTTGACACTGTTCTCGTGTTATCCTCCGCGGATTCCCATGTCAATAAAATGTTATCAATACCGCAAAAGAAACAGTTAATAGTTGACTCTTCTGCCGGGAGGCTTTTAACCTCACCTGCAGTGTATTCGGCATGGCGAATTCGTAGCATCTATATCTATACAGATAAATAAAATTGGAGTGTCTGTTTGTAATATTAAAATAACCGCTTTTTAATAAATGCATATGTATGTATACACGGTACATATACCAAAATATTTTTTTACAATGTTTGTCTGTCTCTCTGTCTGTCTCTCTGTCTGTTCAACGCGTGGCCGTTAGGTGATCTCCTCATAGATATGATGATCTTACTATTGCCGTGTTCGTAAACAGTTTTTATAGGGTTTACGTTTCAAGAAGTAGTTAGTGATCTCTTGCGACGTGCTTAACGAAGTCGCCATCATTAATTTTAAGGTAAGGCTACCATTCGAACGCCAAAGCCCTAATTATGTATGTTTCTACGTGGGTAGACAATAAAGCAGTCCTCGGTAGTTGCCGGTTCACTCTTGAAATCGATTACACCAAGTACCTCGTAATTACAGGCTCATAATGGCCGCGTAGGTGTCCAAGGATTGCTGAAGTTGCGTTTGTCCCAATTCGTGAATCAGATGGCAAAGGAGATTTGCGTATAAGTCATGTAATAGCATTCAAATTAAATTTTATTGCAGTCTTCACTAAACCGTGCTGAACGCAAATTTGTGTGTACAACGTATTTTGTTGATTTTATTAAATGTTTATTAGTGTTAAATATCGAGGTAGTGTTTTTGTACAATTTTTATTTTCAAACTATCATAGCACGGGTTAATAACTACCCATTGAATACGATGCACATTGGATGTCGTAGAATTTATGATTCCCAAAATATATCCTTATTATTATACATATTCCTATTATTTATCACTTGCTCGGCGCTGAAGGGAAAAACATCGTGACGAAACCTGTATATATTCGAAACAATAAGAAAAAAAAAATCGAAAATATGTTAAGTCCTCCAATCCACAGTGGGGTCGCGTGGTGGACTATGCAATGATACCCTCTTTACAGAGGTCTTTGCCCAGCAGTGGGACTTGTATAGGCCGGATACTTTACTTCCCTACATTACTATATATGAATTTAATGTTGAAGCCTATGTTTCAACACTGAACTTTCGTTGTTACATTTGTGAACAGAAAGTTCGTAGACTAGTCGCGTGCAAATTCTGATTAATCGTTCGGCTATAGCTCTTAATTAGCGTTAACTTTAATCAAAACCATTTGTAGGTGCCGTTGGGCTATTGGCTTGTATCTTTTTTCCGCATAGAAACAAATTGACCTTTTACTTAATAAAAATATTTACACGATCTTTCAAAGCAATTATATACGAACGTATGCATTGAATGAGTTTGGCGAATTGTGTGGTTCTAGGGAATGTCATCACCCCCATCCATATCTACGAATTAAATACGTTTCCAGAACTGTCTACGCATTTTATAGGTCAAGATGAGGAAAGATATTTCTCCAACTTTAAATGTGTGGGAATAACCAGATAATTACTTCAGTATTATTACTGTTTGTTTTCGAACAAAACTTATATTTTTTTAATACATTCTTGAAAACCCATTTTACTTTCTCAACATCCATGATATGTGGCCCAGGAATATTTTGCTGTATTTCTTAGATAAGTTGTTTTGCAACTCAGCAAAGACTCATTGCTGTCCCAAAGTGAACCATTCTCCTTATTTGGTGTTTCGTTCCAAAATACTGTTATTCTCAATAGCACAGCGAGTTTCCTCCGTTTGTATATTCGCGATTGGCAATTAATTTTATTGGATTTGGTCTTAAGCCAAAAGGAGATGGAATTGGAACAACCAAAACTGGAACGAATCGCGTTTAGCTAGAGTAAGGCTTTGTGTTTTAAAACCACTAGTGAATAGAGAATAGGCTATTGTTATATAATTTATTGAAAGTATAATTATATACATGATACATATAATAACATAAAACACAATATTTTTGTGCCATAAAATAAATATTGCCTTTCTTCTCTCCATACATGAGCGTAGCGAAGTTGTTGTATTATTACAATTGATATTTCTCATTTACGTCACGTACCCCGTGTGGACTCGACGTGTTTTCACCCTGTCTATATCTTTTTTTATTTAGTTTACTTTAAAAGGAAAGTCTGAGAAGGTGCAACTATTTTATCTTTCTCTACCTTTACCATTGTGTTATTTTATTCGTACGCCTTCCTCTTACAACTTAAAATATTTTGAAAATATACGCGAAACGTAGCGGCACTGCGGAGCGTTTTGTAAAGTTTATCGTTCGGGGTTTCCGCCCTGTGTAATGCCTATATAGTGTGATAAGATTAGAACATTTTCCTTTATCGACAATATTGACGCGGTCGTGATATTTCTCCGTATTTGGTAATATCAAATATTGATTTAGTGACGAGAATCCAAATTCGTCATGGCGATTAATTTCTTGTTTACAATGTATATGTGTATTGATGAACTCGTAACTTATGGTCACGCCAGTGATAGCATATTCCGCGGTTCAGTAGACATCAGGGAAATCGTGCTAATTATGAGTAACCGACTGTATTTATTATATTGTAGGATTTTTAACTTAATGCTTTAAATAAAATGTTATATATAAACGAAAACGTATCCATAAAATTATTGAATCTTTCGTGAGACATTGTAAACGGAATAATTAAACGGCTGGAACTGTCGTTGGGAGTAGTTTGATGTTCAATCCATACTAATATTATAAATGCGAAAGTAACTCGTCTGCCTGTCTCGCTTTCACGCCAAAACTACTGAAACCTTTTAACTGAAATTTGGTACACAGATAGTCTAGAGCCTGAGAAAGGACATAGGCTATTAAATATTTTTAATTGGAAAAAGGGTTATAAAGGGCTAAAGGGTTCTTAAAGGGGATAGATATTTATTTAAGCGCTTCAACGCGAGCGAAGCTGTATAATATAAAACAGAAAGCAAGTATAATATAAAAATAAGTCTTTATTAAATAAAGAAATTTTGACTTTGATAAAAAAACTTCTAAAACTTAAACTTTTCTCATGATTTACGCAAACCAGAGCCAACGCGTTAAACGGCAATCCTAAGGAATCAATTAAGTGTATCCCTGATTTTATTCCAGATGAAAATGACTTCCACTCCATTCAGCGTTGGTCTTTCCGACGAAACCCGCCTCTCCAGCAGGGTGCTTCGCCCGCCGGGCGGCGGCCACACCGACATATTCGGCTCGGAGCCGGAGCCCCAGCGCCTCGGACGGCGCCCGGGGCCCAATACTGCCGGTACGTATAACGGTGGCAGGGCCACGCAGCCTCGGCTGTTGCACGAATGGGCAGGCTCGTCCGAGTAAGTACCACGACCTCGCAGAAGACCGGCGTAAAGTGAAAGTATAATACTTTCGCGTTTCGTCTGGTGAGTCAGGTGGCCAGAGCCCAATTTTCAAATGGTTGTCAACGCATCTTAAACCCTGGGGTGTTGCAGACTTCCATGGGCGGCGGTATTGACTAAACATCAGGTGAACCGTCGGCTCGCTTGGCAACTTTTCACATTAAAAAAAAAACGTGTGACGTCACATGCCTGATCCGATTCGCGAAGGTCCACTGTTTGACTTTGAGATCGCTCAAGATAGGGATGTTGAAAAATATCGATGTTTATGATTCTATAATATACCGATATTTTTGGAAGATATATTTGGATCCGATATATCGACACAAAATATTTAATTTCGTACCGTAATAGAAACGATATTTTGTGTCTAATATTTATTGAATGCATACCTTTTTTGGACAAAGGGGTTTCTAGGACCTATATCGGATATATCGATAATTCTCCTCGATATATCGAGTCTGATATTTATATTTTTATAAATATCGTTATATATCTTCATTTTCGACATCCCTAGCTCAAAACCCTTGGCGTTTTGTTCATCATCATTGCGAACCTTGGGCTGACTATCATAGGTATCTATCAATACACGCCGCTTAGACATCGGCTTTGCGCTATGGCTAGTATGTGTTAGTCGGCTTGTATTTCAACACCAAAGGGGCCGTTTTTAATCATTTTGATGAACAAGCCAAACAGATAAATCAAATTAATTTAATCATACGCTTTGAAATAGTTAATAGGCTAATTATGTTTTCGTAATCTCTGTAGAAATGGTTAATATGTTGATTGATTCATTAAATTCTCTGTATAATTTTGGATGTATCTATCGTTATAAACTGAGGACTTAAGTTCAAATTTTCACTTACGGACATTGCAATAGAATAAACCAAGAGCTGGACACTGAGCCAACATAGCTCTAACCTCCTCTAACTAGTTTCGTATTAATATAATTTGTTCATCGTTCTTTAACTCTTCTTACTCTTTGGCTCTTTTAGCTGTGATAGTTCTGTGTCCAGGCATTCGCATTCATAATACTCGAGCAAAGTGATCTAAAACCGCGGTGCCAGCGCCGACGAAATGTTGATTTTAAGTGTTGATTTATTTAAAAAAATACATTTCGAAGATATATTTATGTGACGTCTGCCAATCCGCAATGGGGTCGCGTGGTGGACTATGCACTAACATCATGTGTACTACGGACGGATGAGGCCTTTGCCCATCAGTGGGACGTATAGGCCGATATTTTAACTGTAGCTCTTAAACTGTGAACTTTCAGTTGCGCCGCCCCCGAAGGCGGAGGAGCCCGCTAAGCCCAGTAACGGCGCGAGCGAGGCCAGCCTGAACGGCAGCTGCCAGCCGTCGCCGCAGGAGGCGCCCCAGCCGGGAGCTCCCGCCTCCAGCCCGGCCGAGGCGCCCCAGCCGCCCCAGCCGCCCCAGCCGGAGCCGGCCAGGGCCGAGGCGCCCCAGCCGGGGCCGGCCAAGGCCGAGCTGCCCAAGCCGGAGCCAGCCAGGGCGGAGCCGCCGAAGCGCGTGCGCGTCCCGCCGGGCGGCTTCTCCTCGGGGCTCTGGTAAAGCTGGCCGGCCCTCGTTCGTCCCCAGCCGTCGTGTAGTTAAGATTCTCGCTGGGACCAGCCGTGTGCGTCTGTTGGGTTGTCGCTCTGTGTGTATGTATGTGCCTTTGCTACTTGTGTTGTCGCGCGCAGTCGAGTCCTTATTGCGTTGTCGCGCCTTTGGCCGATCGACCGAGCGCCGATTCTTCAGGGTTCAGTCTCCCGGCCGATCTTGAGAACGGAAGTTTCTTTTTAGCATGGCTAGAACTTACGTTAGTTTTGGTTCGTTACGTGGAAGGTGCTGTGAGACTGTTTGATATGATATGATGTTATCCGAGTTGTTTGTTGAGGTCGATGTCTTTATTAATAAGGAGCTTGACTGTTTGTTTCGTATTTGTTTGATTCAGCGGTTCGTCCTGGTCCCATGCCGGTTTTCTTAGCGTGGTTTCGCTTTGGCCCAGTGTAAAGTCGGTTATTTTATTCCTCGCAAAAGGCAATTTGTTTCTTTAAAATATTTACTCCCAATCCTGTCATCAGTACTTATTGTTTCGAGTGCTGATGAGTATATTTTCTATTTAATTAATATTGCGTTCATCGCTCCTGTAGAATGGCGATGCAGTGAGCCCAACTCTCTATTAGACTTTTTAAGTGTGATGTCACAATTTAATATCTTTTAAATATGTTTCACAAAAAGCGTGGCCAAAAACTTTTAATCTACGGTACGACTTAATAGTTGTTTCCAGTAATTTTAGATGTGTTCCATTTCAATTACTATTTTAATAAACTCTATTTAAAGTATCCGACGGTGTTGCTTGTCCCCAGTCTGAAGTCCATTCGTGGTTCCGCCAAATCCCGTTGCCAATTAAAAGCCTCTGGATATTAAAAATGGCAATCTATGAGCTTACGCATTTCAGACTGACACGTGCCTCTGTAATTCATGGATGTACTTAAGGAAATTGTCGCAATGTGTTTTGCATTTAGTATTTTTCTTTTATTATAAAATAAATAATTTTTGTATGCCTTCGCCGGCAAATGACGCGATTATGTATATTGATAATGATAATTGTATTTTTATATGAATTACAATACATTAAAAATTATGTTGCATTTTATTTTTGGATTCCTATATCACATTTATTGTAAAATGCTGAAAAAGACATTATTTACTAACGTATTAGATTTAAGTGTAAAGACTAGGCGTGACAAACACAATATAAGTATAATACTCGGCGAAAATGCATATCGATCGATATGCATTTTTGCAAGAGAGAAATTTCGCATTTTAGAAAGAGAATTGGATAATTTCGTTTTCCTAGAACGTTATCTCATTCTCTGCCCTAAACTTAACACAGATGGATGACCACTGTTGTCTTTTTCTATGCTAAACATCTGTTAAGAATCTTTTTTTTTTTTTTTTTCGAAAAATCTTTGTTTTTAGGAAGTTTTTTCTTAGCTGTATCATTACATTGTAGCTTATTCAAATATACTGCGACATTTATTGCATCAAATAGTTCGCACAATTCTCATAGATCTCAGCTTGCTTTATGTTTTACTTTAAAAAGCTGTGATTTATCAACGGATTTAAGCAAGCATTCCTGTACTGCTGTATTTGAAATGATAATATTTCAAGTGGGTAAGGAGGTGAGTGCATTTACTGACAAGACAACTTCCTGTTCGTATATCAACATGCCTGTTTGTATATCACAAGCAATAGGAACCAAAAAAGGTATATAATCTGTAATACATTTTATGTTGTATGCTTACCTTCCATTGGAATTCATTTGGCAAGCAAAGTATTTTAAGAAATTTAAACTAATGTAGCCACTTTTTTAATAATAACTAGCGACCCGCCCCGGCATCGCATAGGTGCATTATACATATAAACCTTCCTCTCGAATCACTCTTATCTAATAAAAAAAACCAGACAAAGTTACGTTGCGTAGTTTTAAAGACCTAAGCATACATAGAGACAGACAGGCAGTGGGACTACTTTGTTTTATACTAGTAGTGATGATAGTAATTAATGAAGCTGGAGAGCTTCATTAATTACTATCATTCACCCTCTATTAACATATTTTTTATATCAACCCTATGGGTATGCCCAGAAATATATTTCATTCGATAAAATATAATTTAAATCCGTAATGCCGATGATTGAAGGTCGATTTCACTTGGATCCTGTACAAATAAGAGCTATGCGCCGTCAATTGCATCTACTGAACTGGCCATTTGAAGAAAAAAAAAACGCCTATTCATGTCACTGTCAATCCTCCAATTGACATTCAATCAAAATGTCACCGCAAACGAGACGCGTTCCCGTTCGGATAAAATAATAAAAATGCATTTGAAAACAATAACACCACACAATAACTACAACCACTCAGCCAAGCTTTGATAATAGTATGTATGCTAATTATTTTTTAACGCCTTAGGTAAGTAGATTGGAAGTAGATTGGATGAGTATAGTTTGGTGTTTGGAGAAGCTTTAATTCGTTGAAACACAAGTTAAAATATGAAAAGATGCAGATAACAAAGTGAATTCACCATCACTTCTTGGGTAAAGGTCTAGAATAGAGACGTAACCTTTTTCAATGACAAATATTTTAAAACTAAAGAAACGTAAGTAACCGAAATTCGAATTATCAAGTAAAAATCACCGGTTAAGTCTACTTTACACAAAATAAAAGAATTATTAATGAAATCCATAACATTGTTATATTAAACCAATGTCAAAACGTTAACATGGTTTATTTACTTTCATTGTAATAATATGTTGTAACAATAATTTCTAAACAACGTTGAATTCTGTGGTAGTACTATTGATGCCATTGACGTTTGAGTCTTCAACGATATAAATAAGCAGAATAAATCTCAGGTCAGCATCGATGTCTTGAAGGTTATTATAGAAATAGTCTTGTTATAAACTATGTCTTAAGGTAAAAGTGAACAGATTACCTATATCACCTAAAACAAAACCACTATTTGGGAATGGATAGAATGGGACTGAAGTACTCATCTGCAATGTTTATACATGTTCGTTAATTTTAGCGCCGGGGAGGACGAACAAACACACTTGCCAATAATTATAATGTAACTGTAGCTGTATACTGCGAAACTTTTCTAGGAACGATTCAGCTCAAGCCGCTCCAACGGGTCAGAGTCATAACCGCCGTGCAATGGAGGGTGGGAGACAGTCGCGCCTGCTCAGCCGTTTACTGGGCAAGCTGCGTGGTGACCACCATAGGATCAATCAAAACTACTCTTTAACCTCCACAGCGTAAGCTCGTTTTCCCTGGGACGTGCAAAACAGTCTTCGTGCTCCTTTCAACTTGACGACCCGAATGACGTAGCGGGTAGTGTACCTGCCGCCTGCACCACAGGGTGTGGGTTCGATCCCCACTACGGGAAAAATATTGTGTGATGAATATAGTGTTTTTCTAGTGTCTAGGTGTTCATATCGGTATTATTTATTTACAACAATAAAAGGATGTTTATCAGTTATGTAGTACCCATAGTACAATGTTTAGTACGTTGCTTAGTTTGGAACTAGATTGTGTAAATAAATATATGTCCTAAACTATATTTTCGGCGACATTTCCGATTATCTACTTACACAAGTCACTCCAATATGCATGATATTTTAATTTAATTGTAGTCAACATATGCGTGTCACGAATATTAATTGTTAGAATATTCTCGATCAAACTAGTCATACTTTACCTGCAAGTGAAAAAAAGCTAGGTATAAGCGTCAGTTCTTATAAACTATAATTTTTTTACTTTAAGTTTTTATAATTCATGGAAACACCGAAGTGCAACAACTGAAGCTGCTACGTGGCCCCAACACATATTTGCTAACTTCCTTTTATCTTTTGTTTGAAACCTTGGCCTTTGCCCTTACTGTATGATAAAATTATCCTGTGTTGTAAGGGCGTTTTTAAAGACTTAAAATTTCACGTCTGTGTGTTCATATGAGTGTCGAAACGCCCGGCGCCGATGACTACACCTTCACAACTGCACCATGTTGCTACGTACAGGACGCAATGGGTTTGTCGTGAACCTAGATAATACGGTACAAATCTGGAGGTATTTCTATCTATTAGTTGCAGTACTGACAGCAATGGATTCACCAGCGCCAAATGATGAGGAAGAACTGAATTTACCCACCATGACCCCAGTCGCAACTGCCTCCACCTCGCCCATAGTCGATGATCAATTTCCCGCCAATATCGACTTAAGGTCTGTCAAGTCTAGAATATCTGCCATTATTTTGTATCTGTACAGAATGGATCTAATGGAAGCCCATAAATAATAACTACTCCGCTGTGTTCCGTTTATGGGGTTTTTAGTCGACCGAACGAATATCATAGTGTTAACCGCCGCCTCTACCAATGTGGTTTGTAATATGCTATGATTCATAAAATACTAGCGACCCGCCTCGGCTTTGCACGGGTGCAATGTATTAAATAAAAAAAATATCTACATATTTCAATAATGGCCGATGTTTTATTTGTGTAAGAGGGTGGTAAGCGATCTGGCAGATCACCCGATATTATGGAAATTTGCAACGTTCCGACCCGTAGGGTTACAAATGCGTTGTAAATTGCAATGTATATAACGGCCCACTTTATTAAAAGCGCATTTGTAGCGCTTTCAATTAAGTGGGCCGGAAACATTTAATTATTCTAGTAATTGAATTCTATTTGTCTAAATAGCCAGAAGACTTTCTTAATGACCAGAATGATCAATTCAACCATCCTTTTGGCAACGCAAATGACATTTGAAAAGCCATTTGACAGCTGATTAGTTGACATCTACGATGATCAGTGTTTCAGAAACCAGCCGTAAATGTAACGAAATTACATAATTATTATCTAATAAATCTATTTCACGCGGCATGGTGCCAAGAACGCTACCTGCATTTCCTCGCTTTTTTATTATACTTAACCTTTGAGCGTGAAAAGAACCAGCCCTCTTGTCATCAGCCGCGGCGATAAGCCTAGGACGTAAATCTTTCTAAAATTTCGATGCACGGGGAGACACGGACCCAAAGTTTCAACAATACTAGTACAGTTCTAGTTAACTTTCATACTGTTATCGTAACTTTTTATAGGTACGGCGGTCAATATTTGACCCCGGATCAACTGCCGGAATTCTGCAACCAGCTCCATCACCTTGTGGAAGTGATCCGTAATATACAATCGTATGCCAAGGTGACGGGGGAATATCCAAGGTAGGTATACAATTATTGAAATGTTGCATACTTTTTATTGAGCAACCCGAGTTCAATTCCGGTGCCAGCACCAAACAAATTGTTAATTTTAATTGCTTACTTGTCACGTGCTCAAAGTTGAAGGAAAACATCTTGAGAAAATCTGCATGTTATCGAAATAATCACATGATAATATTTTGAAGATATGTGAAGTTTGTTTTTTATGTCTGTGCAGAAGAGGCCTTTGCCCAGCAGTGGGACATGCATGCATAGTCTCTTACTTTATTTTTAAAGATGTATAAGATTGTGTTAATAAAAAAGGTAAGGCAGTGGTGCTCCAGTGGTTAGTAACATTTGATTGTCTGAGGTTACGGGCTGGAAACCTATAAGAAAATATTTTTTAGTGATTTGGATGACACTGCAATCAAAACACAATTGAGTTTCTCTGTAATAAAAGTCGTATACACTATTAGGGTTACACTTTCAGACCTAGTATGCAAAAAGAAACTTTTTAAGGTACAGATGCATCACTTACCTTTAACAAGTAATATTTATAAAACTCGTCGAAAGGAGACAGAATCTGTTCTTCTCGAATATATCTCCGTTTCACCTAGAGATTATCGAGAAGATGATATAGATCGTATTATAGATATATTTTTTCTACAAATTTAAATGTTTCATCTTAAGTGCAGAGATTAGCACTACATACAAATACTTATCTCTCGTTCGAAATATCCTTTTGAAATTGTTTGTGTGCTGTTAAGGACTTTAGGTGCGCCAAGCGTTGCACAAATGCGAAAACTGTAAATGCAGTCGTTTAACTTAGTGTTTAAAGCGTGCGGACGCAAATCCAGGACACGCGGGTTCGTATCCCGCGGCGGCGAAAAGATTTTTGTCCATGTTTTCTACAAATTTCAATGTTTCATCTTAAGTGTAGAGAAACACTACACTAGAGACGGAAGGAATTAGAGACGTATTATAGACTTGAGGAGGTAAGGTATTCATCAGCGAACTAGAGAGGCGGTTGGAGCGGGAAGCGCGCGAGGTGGCGGCTCTGGCTGGAGAGGCGCGCGCGGCCAGGGACGTCCTCACAAGGACTCGAATCCAACGCCGCGCGCTGCAGACCATGCGGACACAGCTCACCGCGCAGCTGGCCACGCTCAGGCACACGGGTAAGGTTACCCCACTGCCGACGGAGGGTGATGGTTTTCGAGCGTGTTTTCTATGTGGTAAGGCGGCAAGCGAGCTGACGAGTGTTGATTGGTTTAATGTTAGACTGTTGTATGGATAAGAAAACTAAAGAGTTGTTATATTCCTATAATTATCATTCAGCCTTCTAAACGTCTTCACTACAAAAACTCACTTGACGTAAAACACTTGAAGTAAAAGATTATCGACTTAAATGTCTTACAAATTAATAGCAGCTCTTCGTAGTCTTTGAGAACACTCATTTATTATCTCATCTGTTGGCTCGGGCAGAAATTCGCGAACTGGAGAATGTGGTGCGTGTGTCAGATCGCAAGCTGTACAAGAGCTGGGAGGCGGTCAAGGACTCCGTGGATCCGGTTGCTTACCAGCCCTTGCTGGACGAAATCAAAGTGAGCGGAATAATATATACGTACCTACACACACACTACAAGGCTGGTCTCTACCAGCCCTCTATTCCAGGGCTGTACTGTTTACTTAGGTACGTAGGGAACAGACCTGTTATTTCGGGCTCATAGAGTAGGGCTAAGGTAAACCCCTGCCTGTCGTGAAAGGTGACTAAAAGGGGACGCACGGACTGTCAGCAGCAGTCGTCCTGCTGCAAGATGGTGAGGGAATAGGGAGAAAAAAATGGCTCCTAAAATGGTACCATCACTACATTGTATAAAACAAAGTCTATGTATGCTTAGATCTTTAAAACTACGCTGTTGCGCAGATCTTGATGCGGTTTTGTACACTAGATAGATTGAATCAATAGATACGAACCCCACATATCCTGGTCATTTAAGGTGACAAGGTATCTTTTGAAGAGTCCCCCCCTCCCTCGGTACCAAAAAAGGTACGTAGAAACACAAGTGAATCTACTGACAGCTAAAAGCACACTGTTTAATTATAAAGCTTAAGCGAGACTGGGATACATACACAATATTGACACAAATAATTATATAACACGTACTTATAACATAGATTATCGGATACTGTGTGATGTCAGAACCTCTTTCAGCCGCAACAATTGGAGGGATTAGCACGTTTGTGCAGCATTAAAAACAAATTAAGCGCGTTCATTGGAAATATTCGTTATTTTAAATTGCAACGAAGCCTATACCTTCTGAGAATATGACAATGTAATCCGGGAAAGTCGTATATCAGAAGTAAATGACTACGGTAGCAATATCTCGTCGGTAGAGTAAGCCGGGAAGGACAAGGATGTAAGAAAATGACTCTTGTACTTATAACTCCACTAATAATTTTATACCTAACTAGCTGCTGCCCGCGACTACGTTTGCGTAGAATAGGCTGAAGGTGTAACATTAAGACAGAAAGATACATAAAATATATATATAAAAATTATAGCCTATGTCTTATTCTGATGTATGAGCTATAGTATTGTAAAGTTTCATTAAAATCCATTCAGTAGTATTTGCGTGAAAGAGTAAAAAAACATCCGTCCATACATATAAACTTTCGCCTTTATAATATTAGTAAGGGTTAATTCTTTATACGTGTAACATTAAAGTAATGATAACAAGACGGCAGAGATTCTTGCCGGTTCCTTTCTGAACAGGTCTGGTTAAGCGAACCGGTCGTTACCATTCAATAAGAGCCTAAAAAGCCTATGTCGAATAAAGAAATTTTGCCTTTGACTTAAAAAGAGCAAGCAGACGGCATTGGAGTGCCTGCTGCGGCTGGTCAACCATCGACGGTGCAGCCTGCCACGGGCCACCCTCGCCCCTCAGCCGCTGCCACCGCCGCTGCCACGCGAAGACCACGGTCAGCTCTGAGCCTTTGTTTAAAGTCACAACTAATGGTCACTTACCCACGCTAATGAGCGACCACAACGATAGCGGCACTTTTGTTCACCCGATGTTGAATGTTCACCACCGCCCATGGACATTTGCAACACCCGTAAGGCTGGAGATGCGTTTCCACCTTTCAATAAAGTGGGCCCCGGCTACCTCACTCGTCAGACGAAATGCAAAATTTTAACACTTGTACTTCTCGCGCGCCGGACTTGTTTGAGTCCCCTTTTAATAATACATTTTACATTCCATCTCATGGTTGATTGAATTGTTTTATTTTATGGTCGATTAAAAGAAGGAGAATGGAGAGAAAATATACGAAGGTGTTAACCCTGTGGTTAATTCCTTAGCTCTGAAACTGATCCTTCGAACTCATATTTTACTTTAGAACTATTGCACATAGGTACCACAATTTCTATTCGCGCACGAGGTTTATTGGTAGAGAATGCTAATTGAAATCTAGGCCGTATTATAAACTGACTTCAAAAAAGGAGGAAGTTCTCAATTCTGTTTGTTATGTTTGTTACTTTAGAACTTCTGAGAGAAACGATTTTGATGATTTTTATTTATTTGAAAGCTGGTGCTTTCCATGTGTTCCCAGTCCCCATATTAATTTCATTGGTATTGGATCTTGGGCTCCGGAGATACTTAGGTAACTCCTGATAATCAATTACGAAATGAATACAGAGCGAAATATTTGAAGTTAAAAAAAAAAAAAAAAGTGCGTGGAGTAACTCCGCGCGGGAGAAGTGAAACTCCGAGTGCGACGCACTCACTCTCGCTCTATCTCTTTCTACTCCCCCTTCGTGTTAGTGTGAAACGTTTAACGCAACCTCGTTGGAAGTCGCATTAGAAGTTTCACTTCAACGTGGACCTGTTTTGAGACATAAACAAATGAACGATCAGAGTCAAATACTGCAATGAGCTCGGTGAGAAAGAGATACGACGTCGGCCGCCGCGTGACGCACAAGCGGAGGAAGAGAGACGCAAATAGGGAGCCCCGCTCCGTCCCGCTCTCCGGGGAATCCAGCCACCATGGGACCACCGTTCAGGTATCTACTTCTCAACCAGCTGCTGTTTTGTGCCTACCTAAAAGCGAGCTTTATAGGAGCCGCTGTATACTGTTTACGCCTTCGATGTAAAGAACAAAAGTAACAGCCTCTATGTCCCACCGCTGGGCAAAGTCCTCCTCTATCCTGAGGGTATTAGGGCAACGTCCACCAGGTGACCTCACTGCGGATTGGTGGACTTCATATATTTTTGTGATTATTTCGAAAATATGCAGGTTTCCTCACGATGTTTTCCTTCGCCGTTAGAACGTGATAATTCAGCACCTATAATTGCTAATTTCATTGGTGTCGTCATCGGGATTGCAACTGTGGCTTGGATATTTTGAATTAAAAGCGATGGGCCCGCACAATATGCGATCACGGCGTTTTCGATTACTATATAATCCGAATCTCTGAAACGGCCCCAAAGATTTTCTTGGACTTTGGTGTGCTGGGGGTTAAGGGGGCAATAAATCTAGCTAGGTTTCATTTTTAGAAAACGTCCTTTTATCCGTGTTTTCAAGCAATGAAAAATATCATTAAAATAGGAAGATAAATTTCGCCGCCATCTATAAAGTTATAGTAGGCGGTAATCGGGCAACCCCAAGCACACAACGATCTTGAAACGAAGTCAAGATCGTTGTTTTATTTTATTTTTTTTACTTTTTTTCGTTTCCAGATGTTTTTTATTTGTTTCGAGTCCAGATGATTTTTTTCCCTTTTTTTCAAATTTTTGTTAATCTGAGCAAAGCTCGGTCATCCACTTGCATTTCAGGTGACCGTCGGACAACCCACCGCGGAGGTGACCACCCGAGCCAGTGTCCGCGACATAATGTTCTTCACTGCAAACTAGAATGCACTGAGAAACTATCATGTAAAAACCATATAAAGACATCCTCGTATTTTGTTGTTTCGTATTTTTTTTTTTGGCGATTGCACTTATAACTGATTTCACATAATATTTATCGATTGAATTTATAATCGCGGCAATAATTTAGTCCTTTATAAAAGTATTATTGGGGAGACTTATTATTAAGTAATGACCCAGTAATTCAGCCTCATTCAGGATTATTTATTTATTTATTTATTGCACATCCATTAAGTAAAAAAAGGTGTCAGGGTAATTAGTAAAATAGTTCTTTATGGACCTTTTGGATTAAGTAATAGCTAAGTGTTTAGCGTATCGATAAATCGGAAGGAAAGAGCGAGACAAACACTGATTAGCCATCATTGTATCTGATGATCGTGGTCGTTCGAGCACGAATGAGATCATGGAGGTCTCCGGTCCATCGCGGTTTTAGCCACATCGCGCAAATTCCGGGTTCTGTGTCTTCGAGCTGGTCAGTCAAATCGTGCAAAGGATCGGCCACGTGATCTTTTGCCTTCAGCGTTTCCAACAACGATCAACCTTTCCCAGTTTAGCTCGCATGAGTAAACAATAATAAGTGCAATCATTTCAGGACACATTTTTACACTTCTCCTAATCTCTTGTCCCAAACATACCTGATAAACATACTTATAAATCATGTATTCTTGTTAATAAATATATATATATATGTATAAATATTATAGATATATGTATAAACACCCACGACAATGGTAAATCTCACGTTCATCGCACAATATTTTTCCAGCAGCGGGGATCGAACCCACACCCTCTGGCGCAGGTGATAGTCTAAGGATATTAACTACGCCAATCGGTTCAACGATTCCTTCGCGCGTCGCTTGTTAATAATAAGAATCGACTAAAATAAGGCCCTCTAATATAAATTTGTTAAGTTTTCTAGTTCTCCAGCAGATCAGAAAATGTAAACGACTAATGATTTTTTTTTAATGTGAAAAGTTGCCAAGCGAGCAGACGGTTCTATTGTTCGTTACAAGAACATTCGAATGGAAAACTGTGTATGTTTTTCATTTCGTCAATTTTCATATGTCAAATTGATTCCAACGAGTCGATAGTATGTAATTAAACTATTTTTTTGCTTTTTTGTGAAGGGCTGATAAGTTAGTAGGCGGTTCGTGTGATGCTAAGTCATTACTGGACATCTACAAGTCCTTTGGGGCAGATGCGCTACAAACTTTCAAAGAATTAATTCCCGGTCACCTCACTAACGAGACGAAACGAAATAGTGTAATATTTCCACTTGAGGCCGTGCTATTACGCCTTTCGAGTCTGCCCTTACACATTACAGCTGTAATGTAGTCACAGATATCTTTTCCAGTCCTATTTGGTTAATTCAAACATGACTTTGAGAAGGTGACAAATGAGCTGGCCGGTTCACCTGATGCTAGTGCTGCAGATGCCTTGCCACCTTTTAAATAAAGTGAGCTCTGGTTACCAATCACCAGACGAAACGCAGAAGTGTAACACTTCAGTTAGGCCGTGGCCCAGACCAGCCCGTTCGTGCAAAAGCGGATGCTGTTTCGTGGCCCTACCCAGTGGCGGATTTGCCCTAAGGCCCAATAGGCACGGACCTAGGGCGGCTGCATACTAGGGGCGGCCAATCGTGAGAAAAAATTCACTGATGATAAAGGGGCGGTTGGAACTCACTACACGGGCTGGGGCCTAGGGCGGCCAAAACTACAAATCGGCCTGTTCACTTCTGTTTTTGTAGTGGACTGTATTCTATAGGACTGGTAGATTGAACCTTCCGAGCCTATTCATGTACACACATTAGGTACCCAACATCGAATTCAAAATAAAGCACCTTGATTGTAGTCTCTTGAGGCACGTGGATAACAGCGGCAGCGGCGATCGTCCCGAAATCAATATGAAGAGTTCCAGCTTCCGATAACAATTATTGTTAGTTTATGCACCGATATTTAACACCATACAAGAATAAATTCACACATTTATATTTTATATTAACCGTATTCAGCGTGTACACTGCCACTGGCCCTACCAGTGCTAAAAGGGCTAAAGAAAACACGGACGCCGTGATAGTGTTTATTATAGAAACGTTACATTATGTATGTGATACGTATGGGATGTGTTCCCATGTGATGTGATCAGTTGCGTCGGAAACTGAGGTCGAATCCCGGACTTCATGCAGCTTTCTTCTCATCGATGGGCGCAGCCGCCGCCGCGCTTGTAGCAGCCTCGGGGTCGGCGGATTTCACCTTGAAAAGCCATACATTATTACCTATACCTCACTCGGGTGTTAGTGACCTATCTCCATTCATCCCGCAATCCTTACATTACCACAAGTTGCAAACTAATTGATTATCCTATGTCTTACCATGAATTTCGCATAAAAAGCTAAGCCATTCACTTAACATCAAGTGAGCTCGCTTGCCATCTTCAAACATAAAAAAGACTGGAAAATGCTACTGGGTTCGTCACGTATAAGAATGAGGAGAAAGTAAGTTTAACCATAGATTTGCTTGTCTATGTTCTTCGAATTGTTCTGAATTTGAATTCCAATTCACCAAAAGCTGCCGGGAAATAATGACAGTATAAGATAAACGTGTCGTTTTTAATATTCTATCTATCTGTGGGTTTGTTATCAGGAGATAGAATTTTGAAGTAAGTATTATGCAAAGATCTTATGGTAATAAGTGTAAGGTATTTGGTATTATGAAGCTAATGTCAAATACCTATCGCTAGTAACCACATCTACGGATAGATAGAATAATAAAACCGTAAAAGAAGTTTATGTTAAAGAAATTCGACACTAGGTTTCTCTATAGCATTTTAACGCCCGGTTTCTGAAAAACTGATCATCGTAGAAACTAATTAATCAGCTGTCAAATGGCTTCTCAGATGTCATTTGAGTTGCTTGTCATTCTGATCAAATTTTACTTGTTAACCATCCTTTTGGCAACTCAAATGAAATTTGAAGTCATTTGACAGCTGATGAGTTAATTTCTACGATGATCAGTATCTCAGAAACCGGGCGTCAATGTTTCAGAAACCGGGCTAAGTTTGTTGTTTTTAGTCACCTCGGCCACTGCGGTAGGGGACGAGGGTGATTCCGCAGCGAGCACCGGCGTAGCCGCTTCCCCTTTCTTGTCTTCATCGGGCGTTGGGGCTGAATTGCTCAACTATAATTCCACGATTGGTTAATATAACATTAGTTTAAAAACAAAGTCACGTCAACAAATAAATGGTAAAAATTCCGAGACGTACTGGTCTCGTTTTTCAAGCTAGAAAAAAATTTTAATCGATAGAGAAATGTTAATAATTAAATATTACATACGTGAAAACCAAGGCAAACACTTACTTTTAATAAAAAAAAAAATATTTAAAACTTGTTATTTTCACTAAATAAATCCGCCATTTTGTGTTTGACAACATGTATAAATTTAAGAATTCACACACTTTTCCAAATTATAACCTTCGCATTATTAAAAAAGAGTCTTTAAAAATACTAAAAGTACTGTTACACTAAAGTTTTCTTTGTGGTCATAAAAAAAAAACCTAACATCGGAGCTTTGCTCCCGCCTTAACCTTCTAACCTAACCTATCCGAGTCGGATCGCTCTGTGTCGGATCTGTGACTCATTTTGAACCTAATATTCGAGACATTAAGTGTACCCTAAGTCACAAATTTTAAATATTAGAAATTGTTAATAATACATGTTCATGAAGTAGAAACTTGTGTTTTTGTGATATATCCGTGTATTTGTGTCTTCTTACAACGTAAAAAGTGAAAACGTAAGTTTTTAACTTAAAATAATAGTCTATAATGAATAATGGACGCACAGTAATGACGGATTTCAGTTGTATGAAATTTAAAAACTTTGTTAATTTCCTTATAATCTAGCGGTTTCCATTGATTATAACTTATTTAATATTTAATTATTAACATTTCTCTATCAATTAAAATTTTTTTCTAGCTTGAAAAACGAGACGTACTATTCGGAATATTAGCCCGGCAGATTATTCACTCATTACGCAAACGCACAGGACGGAATTATTAAACGAAGAAAAAATTGTCAAGAAAAAAAAAGAAATTCTAACTAAAACAGAATCTGGACCTAATTTTATATTTTTTAATGAAACGGCTGAAATTACAGCACTACTAATCACCTGTATAGCCACGAAAGCAAACAAAGCGGCGATGATAAAGAACTTCATGTTTAAATCACTATGTAACAGAACGGACCAACGACAGAATGTCGAGACTAACACGTCTTTTATAACCGTGCACCGGAAGAAACCGCTCCGTACGAATCAAAATAAAACTTATGTGCCGATCAATAATGGACGCTGTTTATAAAACATCGGCGCGCCTGAAACAATTAAAATCGTTATCGTTTCGCCGGCTTGTTTCATTTGCCGCGCTGCCCGACATCGCGCGCCACAGATTATTAATTAATAATGATAATGATCGTTTCGAAAAACATTTTATTAGTTTAAAAGTCAATGCTACGTCATATGGTAAAATCTCAATATGTACTATCTAGTGTCTGTTTTATTTAACTTTGACATTAGCAGAATCATCAAGTCCTCCTTGATGGAGATATTTAGCATAACTTTTAAACCCATGTCTATATCATAGGTGAAAACATGTGGCTATCGTCTCACAGAACACAGCGTGGTAAGGGACTGAAAAGAGATGGCTGTAAAAAAGAAATTCAAAATAAGCGTTCATTAGAGCCATCGCTTGACAAAGTAGGTAATAAAAAGAAACGCTCGAGGGGTACTAGATTTGGCAAATTCTACTTGGAAATACACACATAGGAACATAGGCGCATGTGTGATTTCTCAAGATCAGTTGTAATGAAATCAGTACTAATTAAAAGAGCCTTCTTATAAAAATAAGGGTTGACCGCTAAAATGTGCTAATGATAATTGAATCATTGCTTGCAAATTTTGAAATATTGTCATAAAAATCGCTGGAACCTTTTATAAATGAATATTAATGAATATTACAAAGATCATATTTTATCTTTGTAATATTCATTTTGTACGGAACCACCACGAAATTTCATTCTTGACTTGATTCTGGATGCTATTATCGGTTAGATCGTTTCTTTAAAATGTTACTACTTTGTCATAACGTCTTTTCAGTTCGTTTATTTCTTTTAGGATTCTCTAAGTCCATTTTTTTCTTTACTTTAATGAAAAACCATGAAACCTACGCTGAATCAAAATGTCTGTTGTAAAAGCAAGAAATAAATGCTCTTACAGGATATAATTTAACTTATAAGCAAGATTTATTATCTTTATGTACCATTTCTCTATTATTGAAGATAATAAGGTAAATGTTGTATAAAATAGTGTGTGTGTGTATTTTTTCTCTATAAGCTTGTAGATGGTAAAGGAAATTACTTGGTTTTACGGTATTTCCTCCTCTTTGTGAAACTTTTTTTAGATTTTAATAATTTCAAAAGTTTTTGAGATATTTGCTAGCGCATAACTTAACCCTCTTTTTTATTTTTTTGCAATATTTGCAAGGGGAACTTTATACTTTTCAATCATGTTATTCTGCAACGAATGGTTCATCAGCAAGTGGTTCGTATTTTTCCGAGACCGCTGAAAAAAGTTTACCAAAAACACAATTGTTTACCATGTAGATGAATAACTTACGTTTGTCATTCAAATGATAAGTTAAAATAAAAGATACGTGAAATTATTATAAATTTCTGTAAGGATTTTTACTAGATTTGTTTTTGTTCCACTGCCGCATTTTGCTGAAATTAATTATTTATTCGTTATCCTACTGGGTTAAATGGGACGGACGTATTTATACGACAACACGATATTTAATCACGCGTCGCATATCGATATCATAACAAATTAATTTGAAACGCAATTCTACGATTACCGTGAATGTTTAGAAATGAAAAACATTAAAAAGGAATGCCATGCAAAATTCCATGCATTTATTCTTTATGGAGGAATTTGCAAACGAGAATCAATGGTAAAAATGATATCCTTATTAGGAAAAACATGTTCGCCCGAATATTGTTTTAAGCAGTAAACCAACAAACTCGTATCTCGTTAGGTTTACATTTGGCCCCAGTGATGTTTTAATAAAGATGATCCATTTCCATACTGTGAGGTGTTAAAAAAATTGTTCCGCTTCACCTTATTTGACGTATATTAGTGAATGTGCAGATGATGAAAACGTCTGATACGGGAAGAGATAGCAGTTTCTAAAATTGTAGTCTACCAATTGGCGTAATTCTTCAGTTTCAGTGCGCTAGTATCATACCTACCCCGTATTTATATGTAATATCATTGGATTGGGCTTAATGTTCAATCAAATTCAAATTCAAATATCTTTATTAAGAACCATTACACCCAAACCTCCGATATCCATACAGACTGATTTAATAAAATCATTGAGAGTGTATTTCCTCCTTTTGATTAATGACCCAAGCGTCAGTTAACCATCATGTAACAATGAATTTGGATCAAATTTGTTTTATTCTAGTTTATTAACTAGATAGCTCAGATATTTAAATAAATACAATGACTTAAATGTTTCACGTACTATCCCTTTCAGAACCGATTGTACTACACGTACGTTATCGTTTAAACAATTATAGCGTTCATGGAATTTCATTTTACTGATTAGACATGGCTGCACTCATTCATGCATATATCTAGCTTCATAATGCAAAGGACCGTTTAGGATAAGGTAAATTAAAATTGAATTGTAGAGAGTTCGAAATTGATGATAGTCGGAATAAGTACGTTGTTTTTATTTAGTTACCCTTACCCTGAAAGTGAAGGGTTCGTGCGTTAGTTTAAAGTTGAACAAGGGCTTTAAGTGCTCGAAATAAGTAAAAACGAATCCTCAGATTTTGCTTTCTGATGTCCGAAAGCTTCACCTGCAATCTCTTCTTTTATAACACGGTTCCATTTGAAGATTTTGAAGAGTGGGTCTTTTTAAGACAATAGTGATTTTTAACACTTTTATGAAGTAATCCCTGTCACAAACGAAGCTTTGATAAGAAAGTGTGTTCAATACTACTACTTCGACCCAGTCGTCCTTTCCATTCACAATTTTTGCACATACTTATCCACAAATGTGAAGAGAAACAAGTATTTTGTTAAGAGCAACAATTCTCTAACTGAAAGATTTTTTTACTGCCTTTAACAAATATTTTTCCGAAAATATTTTAATAAACATTAGCAACACATTTCTGGGACCGGTTTTATTGTAACAAAATATTTCCGAACGAAAAAAAATTGTTGATCACGTCAAACTAGGGACGTTGGCAATCGATTGACATTATGACATTACATTCTCAGTATGGTCGCATTACAATTCTTTTTTTTATTATAGGGAAAATACGAATAAAATAAATATGACGAATAAATTACCTAAAGTAATAATGTTAAATGTATGCCATTAATTATAAGGAAAATGAACTGGTAAACAATTGCATGATATAGAACACAATTAAAGACCACATTGAATATGTGAATAATTATTTCAAATGGTTGAATATATTGGAAAGAGAAGGCTTACAGTTTTATATTAGGATTATTGGGAAACAAAATTTTTAATGCTAGCAACCCAGCCTGTTACATTTGTCGATCTTGGTTCGATTTCGTTTGGCAGATTTAATTTCATGATGGATTGATCGAAAATTTTATTTAATTACAGGGTTTAATGAATGAAGTGCTCGTGAAACATCTTTGTGTTTATTTCAATAGTTATTATTAATAAAAGTTCATTTAAAATATGGCATCTCGCGGTGGTGTTATGGTGACAGGTACGAATGGGGCTGATTTTGAACATCGGGAAAAAATTGCGATACAGTATCAATTAAGGTGAGCGTTGGGATTATTTATATGTATGATTGAACTGTTATAGAAATACACGGTGCTGTGGTGATGTGACAACGACAGCACATTCAGAGTTCCGTCAAAGTATTTTTAGACATAAGCAGAAGGTACAGACGTTTCGCGCCACTTATTTAAATTATATATGTATTTATATAGTACTTTTCATTTCAGCATATTTATGTCTTGATTATTTTAACTGTTACTTATAATGTCTGCTAGTCTATGTAAATATCAGTTGTGAAATTTAGCTCATCTTTGGACAATATGTTAGTAACTGTCTTTACTAACTTGTTTTATCATTTATTCTGTGTAAGTATACCATTGATAAGTGTAAATATTAAACTGTTGCATTGCCCTGTTAAGTGTTTCTTTAGAAATTTAAATATGCGCATAATTTCTATTTGATTTCTCCATTTTTATGAGACTGTTTACTGCAAGACTTCGTTCCTATCCAAACATCTCAATTTCTAGCTATCTGGCACCAATCTTTGTATGTTAACTGCCCTAAATAGTTAATACCAAGTTTATCCCTCATTCTCAAGTCACGAATTTAATTCTGAATTGTTTTCCACTTTGGCTGCATGCCAGAAGAGCTATCAAGCATGAAAGGAAATAGTAAGCCCCTGATTTTAAAATAAAATTAAAATGTCAATTAATTTAGCCTTTTGCATTATCTGAGTTTTATAACCTTTGGCGTATATTTATTATTTTTTTTTTGTTTTTATATTATGTTTTATAATCTTATGTCTGTATAAATATCAAAAATTGATATATATTTGATCTGATATCATTCCATATTCTTATGAAAACTAGTTTTATAATTGTATGTTTTTAATGGAGTTATGCAAATAAAAATTATAAGTATTAAGTATGGATACGCCCAATTTTTCAAAGTCAAAGTATATTTATTCAATATAGGCCTAACTTAAGCTCGTATTGAATGTCAACAAAAAAAAGACCACCGGGTCACTAAACTAGACCTGCACAGAGAAGAACCGGCAAGAAACTCTGCAGTCTTGTTCTTTTTGTTTAATTTTATCAACCCTAATATTCAGTTATGTTTCCAAATAATCACAAAACACTGTAATTCATGATTTTACATTTAAAGTAATATTGCTTTGTATAATTTTCAGTGCACTGAACAAGTCGCGCCTCAAGTACTGTGTCTTTTTCCATCATGTGCTCTTCCTGGTAATGCTGGCTAAGCTTTCTGCGGATATTCTCGACAAACTTGACATATTCATACTGGAAATTGAAGAGTTGCAAATACCACAGGTGAATTAAAATATATTCACATGGCCACAGTTGGAAATTTTCATATTTAATAAAGTATTTTTTGTTCTTATTTATTAATTGTAATATTGTATTTTTGTTACAACTAATTGATTGTTTTTAATAGGATTGTAATCAATTATATTTATTGGGTATTCCTGTGAGAGTTTCCGATGTGGGTTTTTCCGTTTTTAATTGGAGAGAGAATTAGTGATCAGCCCTAAATAAGATAAGCTACATCATGGTGATTTTATAAGCACATAATTATGGATGATTGAGTTTTTAATATGGAAGAATTCAAAGTGGATTTTAAAGTTGCAACAAATTTTTTTAATAATTTTTTAATTTGTATAGTGCTAATCTCTGCATTTAAGATTAAACATTAAAATTTGTAGAAAAAATACGAAAAGATTGTCGCCGCTGTGGGAATCGAACCCACGTCTTCGGCGTTCGCGGCCTGACGCTTTTGCCACTAAGCTAAACGGCTGATTGCCGTCTCTATCTCTATCTCTTTTATCTACATTGTTTTAATAGCAAGTGCAGTGTAAATGCAGAGATTAGAACTATTAAAAATTAAAAAATTCTAATAAGCAATGGCGACATCTCTCGTTCGAATTATCGTTGTACATTAATAATTTAATTAATAGGTACCAAAAATTTTTTCAGCCCCTCTGGTGGGAATACGTCTGGTGCCTCTCCCTCTTGCTCTCCTTCTTCGGTTTGGCTGCTATAAAGCGTAATAACATCAAGCAATTGCGAAGATACATGTATGGGATTGCTGCTTTAGGCTTTGGCCCTTTACTCTACTGCCTGGTTTATTATTGCGGTGATGTCTGGCGATACCTATCCAGAGACGACGAGGATGACAGTTCGGAAATCGAAATAGAATTGTGGCAGGTTGGTGATAATAATTAGCTTAACTATTACACTGAACCGTAACCATAGTAGATGGGAACCTCGTACTGGCCATCGCAGTGTAGGACGACCCGCTACTAAATGGAGTGACAGTGTCTTTTGTTCAGCAATGTCACAAATGTCAGCAGCTAAAGAAAATACTTGGCCAAATAATATATTTTTTGAAAGGTAGAAATTTGTAACAAACACAGGCAGAATCTGATAATTTTTTTTATGTCAGAAGTTGGCAAGCGAGCTGGTTTAATGTTAAGTGATAACCTAATGTTAAATTATTACTGCTGCCCACATATTTATTCTGCATTTCGTCAGGTGGGTGACTTAAAGGCTCATTGATTTTCAAGGTTGGAAAGTCTGCAACCCCTATGGTGTTGTACACGTCCATGATTGGTGGTAAATAATTAACATACGACTGTTCACTTGACAAATTCACAAATAGAAACTTTAATTGAAGTAAGTTAAAGTTACTCACAAATGTTAAAATAATTTCGTTATCTTTCAGGGTTATCCATACGGACTTCTGTGGTATGCATTCGTGCTTTTGGCGTCTCAAGTCCACTTCTTTCAACTGTACTTTGGTTTCAATTTGCTCAAGGCCTGGCGCGCTAGGGGAGCGCTCAGGAAATCAGACTAAGTGTTCATTTCCGTTAAACAAATTATACGGTGTTTAATCTGTTTTAAATTTAAGTGACTGTATTATTTAATGTATAAAATGTCACATTGAACACAAAGATGTTTTGGTGGAATAGTCTCTTTTGTGAAGTTAATGGGTATGTTTTTAAGATTTTTTTTTACAAATGTGTTCTAACAATCACTCTTCGCTGCCGTTTATGTGGGTACTGGCAACTTTTATAAAAATATCATTTAGTCAACAGTGTCCATGAATTGATTTTAGATATACAGGGGTATACTATGGGTTAACATCAATGTGCATGTTTATTAACCGACTTCAAAAAAGGAGGAGGTTTCTCTCTAAAATTATACTTGTTTTGCTTATGGAATTTGCAACTTAACAAAAGTGTATCTTAAAAGACACCTTGGTTAATAAGTGTTTATATAGGTTAATATTGTAATCCAACATCTTAAAGAAATATGTAATAATGAGCCCGACTTCAATACCATATTCTTGCTCTACTCTAGGCTGTAAAGTTGAATTTCTTTTAACTTAAAACAAATTAGTAACAATACGGATTGAACATTTCAAATAGGATTAAGAGTAAAATAAATTGAAACTCTTCAATATATAAGTCCCTATTAAGGAAAGCTCAATTACCTCATTTGATGTTTTTGGAGCCAATATTTTAAGAGACGGTTAAAACAAACAAAGTGTTGTGTAAGTGTTTCGCAACCAATGAACATTTGCAACATGAATGGAATCGCAGGTGCATTGCCAACTCCCAAGAAAGTAATAAACTACTTACACAAATTTATTGACTTTGTTAAACAACAAAATTAGTTGACGCGTGCTTACGTAATAAGCATTCTTTTATTTTTCATTAATTCATAGAAAATAATGATTGGAGAAGGTCCTTAGTCTGCTGTGGAATAATTGCCTAATTGAATATTTCCTTCAACAGTGATTTTTAGGGACTTTTAATCAGACATATTTTTCATTCTGTATGTTAAGAAATATGAGAATTTCAGATTTTTTTTTCTGATCCTTTTGATTTTGTCCATATAAACCACACTTGTTAAACATATGTTATTCATAAAAAATATCAATTTTGTAGTTACATATACTCTGTGTGTCTATTTTAGATAAAAATTTTGACAATTACTATTTGTATACTAAAATAACTAGTTGTGTGTGCTCACAAACGCACGAATTTTACTATGGTAGTAATTATCTATAATCTATAGAAATTAATATTTTTAAGAACAACGGAATTGTAGTAATTAAATCAAGTGTAGAAACACAATTAGATAAATAAATATTTAACTTTCACGTCTAGCCTTTATTATGGTTTAAGTAACTTTTAATTTGGCCAACACGAACACGACCACGAAATTTTATGAAAGAAAAAAAATTAACCTATGTCTATAGATACCTTAATGCGGTACTATAAATTTAAAGCGTGCATGCTAGTTGCAATCTTTGATAAAAGTTGGATGAAATGTTTTCAAAATTGACAGGTCTAGTCCATCTTTATTCATTGTGTTGTTATTTTTTTATAAAAATTGTATTTTTGTATTTAAAATTCGGATATTTCAACACAAAAATATTGAAAAAAGTCACAGTTTTTTGTATTTTGCAATATTTTGAATAATGAGAAGACTCACTGCCCCAATTACAAGTTTATGGTTCTCATATTTTATTATCTTTTAATATTGAAACGGTAGGAGTATGTAATGTATTCCTAACGATTATATGAAAAGAGTTATATAAGGTTGTTTCTATGATATGGAGGGTATAAGAATAGTTTCTATGACTACAAGTTTATCTCTGCTCTATTATTCAATAGTCAAGACTCGGTGTCTAAAAAGTTCTATTTTTCATGTAATGAAAATTCTGGCCTAAGAAGTAATTTCCCTTATTGTTGATTATAAGTTGTAAATAATAAAGTCTATTACTTTCAGCTCTCTTAGACGTGTTGGAAGTTTGTTTTGTTTTCGGAGTTTTGGCCCTTGAGGTTGTTTTTTTTAATGAATAAATGTATTCTCGATTCGTCCTTGTGTTTTACTGAGTTTTTCTAAATAAGTAAAACGTCTTCAGGTGTAATGTGGGTCAGGGTTGTCAACCTATTTTGCTATTATGGACTGGTTTGTATGCGAACTGTTGGATATTTTGTTTTTATTATGAAATGTATGAGATAAGGAAACACTCCTTATCTCTACTATTAAGACTCCGTGACGCAGTAGTCAAGGGATTGATTTAGGTGCCGGTAGTCGTGGATTCGACTCCCACACCTTTTGTTTTTTTTTTTAAATGCGAGAAAGTTGCATGCGAGCTGGTGCTTCACCTGATGTTAAGCGATAACCGCCGCCCATGGACATATCCAACATCCGTAGGGTTGATGCGTTGCCGCTATTAGTAAAGTGGGCTCCGGCTACCTCGCTCGGCAGACGTAGCAGAAATATAACACTTTCACTTCACGCCGGTCTTCTGTGAGGTCGCGGTACTAATCCGAGCGGACGTGCCCATTCGTGCAACAGTGGACACTTGCGTAGCCTTGCCACAGGCATGTGTGACCCACAGATAATCATTTCAGATTTGCGTGTTCGTCCACGTGAATTTTATGTATGCAAAACGACCTTACAACAATGGATAATGATATCCTGCAGTAAGGAGCTCCTAGAGATCTTGTTATTTCCAGTGGTCGTTGGGAGCATACAAGATACAATACGACCGGGGCAGGCTTTTCAAAAAGATCTCAAAGCGTCTACAAAACTTTCAGGTGTTACAAAAGGCGGCTTTAATCATACTTAAAATCTTGACGCTTGAAAACCTTTTACATAAAAGAAAATCAATAATGATGATGGCGTTAGCCGTTAGAGTACCCGAGTCCATTTCAAATAAACTGCCAAAAATAGAACAGGATAAAAATAAACAGTGATAGGTATCTGCTCTTTATAGGCTTACTGCTTTTAACAATAAGTAAAAAGTGTTTTTTCCGATATTAACTTTAGCATTATATTTTATTTATTCGAAACCTAGTTTGTCATAGTAATGTACCACAATAATTGGATTCTTCGTAGCCTTATCAAGTCGATCATAAAGTTTATAATGTTTCTTACTTGCTACTGATTCTTGTCGCATCTGTCTTTGGTTAATTGGCGTGTTGTTTCGGCTTTTTATCATAAAGATTAATTTTGGTTATAATAGCAAATATTAGTTCCGACGAATTCATTACCATCTTATCAACAAGTCCACATAGTTTCCATCTAGTAACCACATAATTTCATATGTGGTCAACTATAACTTCAGATAAGTTCACCGTCAAGAGTTCTTTCAGACAGATAAAAAATTATTAATATCCATTCGATTTAATTGCATTTTGTGTTGATAGTGAAACTTATGACGTCTACAGGGTTAATCGATCAACGCTTATGTGCTAAATCAGTGATATAGTTATATCAGCTCATATTATCGATATACTTTGCACAAGCTGACTTAAATACGCGAAATCTCTTCAGTCCTCGGGGCTTGGTCTACTTAGGCAATCCATTTAGAGACTACTCAATTCTCCCACAATTTTGACACCCAATTTTCCAAGAGCCACCGATTAAAAAAAAGTTTTGGCAGCACGTGTATACAATGGTAATGCTCAGTACGTGCACATTCACTAAAACCGTGCGGTCGCGAAATTTCGGTATATATTCTAGTCCAATATCCCTCAACGATTGAAGGCTTTAGTCTTGTGTGTAATATTTGAAGACTAAAAGCTCCAATCAACGTGCCCTGCCAGCGCTGACCTGCGGAAGTGAGACTTGTTTCTTCACTGCTGATCGTGTGAGGACGTACAAAGTCACTCAGTGAGCAGCTACTATGCTCGGTATTTCTCTGCGTGATAAATTTCGCAATGAAAATATCCGCAGAAGAACAAAGTTAACCGACATAGCTCAGATGGTTAGCTCAGGCCGAAGTTTTGATTATGAAATCAATTTCATTGACGTGTCTTTAATAATTATAACTTATTCAGATTGTCAGTTGACATCTAGTTAGATGGAAACACTATAAACACATAATTATATAAAATAAAAACTAGTTTAACTCTACAGTATAAATCGAAAGTCAACCCCCGTCGTGACCGTGAAATCAGGTATGAATTTTGAATTGTCGGCTATTCTTGTTTAAATCAAACGCAATGAAATCTGTAAAAATATTTTCATTTAATTGTAGATTTTTTTCCCTTTTGTCTTAACTATCTGGAACTCCACGAAACATCAACGCAATGATTAGTAAAACAAATCGTATGCATGTGGGACTAATAAAAAATATAATTTAAATTACACTAATTCTTTTTACCATTTTTTATCTTACAACTAGAGTTCGCCCGTCGAATCAATTCTATTTCCCGCTTATATCGGAGTGTGAATGAGCGAGTTTTTAAAACTTCCTCCTTCATTTTCACCTTCTGTCTATTCTTTCTATTCGACTTCAAAGATTATGTCGGAAGGTTTGGTTTTATTAAGATCTCAATCCTCGTCGGCGATCGTAATCTCGTCGTCTGAGGGCTCCTCGGCGGAGGGAGGGCTCCCGCCGTCAGCGGCGTCGGGCGCCGAGCGACGCCATTTTGCGCGCCGATTTTGGAACCATGTCTTTACCTGGAGGTCGAAATTAGATTATTGCGTGATTGTGTACATGTGATTTTTTTTATACATGTAATAAGGTCCGCCAATTAGCAGTGGGGCCGCGTGGTGGACTATGCCCTCATACCCTCTGTACACAGGAGGCCTTTGCCCACCTATGGGACACGTATAAGCTGATACTTTTACTTATGTAATAAGGTGACCGCAGCCATGACATTTGCAACACCCGTAGGGTTGCACATGCGTTTCCACCTTTTAATTAAGCCCCGGTTACTTCAACAGTCTCACTTCACAGCGGTCTTCTGTGAGGTCGTGATACTGGCCCGGACGAGCCTATCCATTCGTGCAATGGCAAATACTGCAGCGTGGCTCTACCACAGAAAAGTGAGTATTAACGTGAATTAAGGATGTTGAGATGAAACTTTGCTTGAGAAATGCAGTAACACGACCAGCGTAACGTGTTTAGGCTTTTGCATTTTGCAAAGCGAAGACTGTAACTAGTGACCCATCAACGCACAACTATCTTTTGAGATATCTTTAAAAAAATGTTTACGATATTCCTATTTGTTTCCATTTTTCTGCTGAAAAAGTCAATGATTACAACAATTGCAATAGTAGTAAAACGTTGCAAACTTTTAATCAAATTGTCCAATAAAAATGTGGTTAGCACGTAGAGCCAAACATTGTTATATAAAAAAGTATAACTATATGATTATCTCGATGTGTTATTTTATGTTTATTATTTTGCTTCGATGAGACACAACAGTTCTGGGTTGAATATAATATATAGAAGAAAAGTAAGTAATGTAAATCACCTGTCTGTCGCTTAGTCTGAGGGAGGCTGCTAACGCTCTTCGCTCGTCAGGGCTGAGGTATTTGCTGGCACCAAACCTGCGTTCCAGCGCTCCTGTTTGTGCCGCACTGAACCGTACTTGGCCCCCCTTTCTGCGCCCGCCCACACCCCACCAGGGACTGCAGCAGTTGGGGGGAACTGGACAAGTAACAAGTCTTCATAAAATCTGATGAACAGTCGCAAAACATAGAATCAATTTCCAAACTGCTGCGTGGCCTTGCGTGGATTATTGACTTAGCATAGAAGCTGTATTCATATTCTTATTATGTAAGTCATTCAATAATTTAGTATTGTGTATTTTACTAGGTCTCTGTTTCATGGTGGTAGGGCCACGCAGCAGCCTCGGTTGTTGCACGAATGGGCAGGCTCGTCCCGGTAAGTACCACGACCTCACAGAAGACTGGCGTAAAGTGGAAGTATGACAAATAATTTCGTGTTTCGTCTGTTGAGTGAGGTAGCCGGAGCCCAATTCCCAAAAAGGTTTCCAACGCATCTGCAAACCCTTGGATGTAGCAGATGTCAATGGGCGGCGGTATTGACTTAACATCAGGAGAACTGCCTGCTCGTTTGGCAACATTTCACGTTAAAAAGAAAAGTATTGCATTATTTTACTAGTTCTCCGTTTTGTCTATAATAAATATTTTATATTGATTTTTTAATGGAATTTTATATTATCGGATAACATATTAAGTGCTGTTCATTAGCATCGACGAAAAAATACGTGATGGCGTTTATCATTATCAAAGCATTGGACTGTCCTAATTGTAAATAACTCATATTACCGTTTATCAAAGAGTAATCGATTGATAAAAAAAATGTACGAACGAAAATTATTACTTTATAGCTGATAAATCTACAATTGCTTGTTAGTTAAATGGAATATTATGGTCATTACATTGATTATTTTATTGTGTATTTAGTTTGTTTACGAAATTGCATTTTTATGTTTGAAACGTGGGAGTCATAGTGAAAAGTGTGTTTGCACTTTTGTTGTATTTAATGGGTAATCCCCGAACTCTACCGAAATGCTTGACCAGCTAAATTAACTGGTAGGCAAAGCGGTAAACAACGTGGGAGTATATTGTAGACATATAATGGTAGTTTATTTGACATTAAATAATTCGTTAGATACATAGACATCAATTGGGAAACAGATCTTACTATGTGAAACAATATTTCCACTAGGTAAGTAACGTTCGCATTTTGGTAACATGCAATACAGTGTTTTATTGTTAATTTCGCTCTTATTTCGTAATTATAACACCATGAACTCATATAACATAACTGCGAAATTTATGAAAATGATTGCTAGCATGTAATTGAACCTATTTAAAATATCGGGTACTTCAATTTTACTCCAATTTTGTGGTATAAAATATTTTAATCGGTTTGTGAACGACTTCAAGCGGAATACTTCAGTATTAAAATGTCATAGACCGACTTTGTAAACTTTGTTTCTTCGTACGTCCGTTTGTGTACTCAACAATGATTTCGAATAAAGGGAAAAGTTTCGAACAAGTGAATCTAAAAGCTTACCAAAAGAAAAGGAATTCCTCTGAGTCATTCAAATGTGCGCAACTTTCTATTGTGGAAGTAAGAAAACGCTTTCGAGTGAGGTAGGTAATATGTTCGATGCATGTCGAGTTTATAACCAGGTAGTCTTTCGTAGACCTTAAACGAGAAGATGATGAATGGTGGCTGTTTTTAGCATTATAGCACTTAGAATATAACTTAGGCACTGATTAGTATCCTGACCCTAAAATCTTTAGCTATATATTTGTTACCATTGGTAGGTTTTCAGAACCTGGTATATTTTGACTGTTGGTAGGTTTACAGTAACATATATATCTTTTACCAATTTGGTAGTGGTGTGTGTGTCTGTGTGAATTATATGCGTAAATTAGGCTCAAATAATGTCATAAGTTAGAGCGTCGGTATTTTTTGTAAGCCTCTGTTCGTTAGTATCTCACATAATTTTTATTTTGTTTACTGACTTTTTAATCTACATTTCTACTTTCAGTAAAATAGACTATTAAAAGTTCATCGGTCAGAACTCGTGGTACAGCGATATCCCACGGCTTGAGACGGCCCTCCGCGAGGCGAGGGTAGGCCGCGCAAGTGCTCATGCGGTGTGTTACATTGTTCTCATTGTTGAATCAGCACGTACCTACATTCATTGAAAGCACCAGCTTTCAAAGAGAAACGAATCATCAAAACCGTTTCACTCGGTCGAAAGTTCTGAGGTAACAAACATAAAAAAAAAAACAGATGAATAGAGAACCTCCATCTTTTTTGAAGTCGGTTGATAAAACTTAAAACTTTTAAAAAATAAAACCGTTTAAAAACTTTAAAGTTAAACGGTTTTATTTTTTGTGCACTGAAAACTACAATATTGTATTGTCATCTAAATTAAATGTGTGTACCAAATTTCAGATCAATCCGACAACGGGAAGGTGCTTAAATTTCAATTTCTAATTTTGACCCAAATAAATAAACAAATTCCGTACGGGTCGAGCTAAATTAAACCGTTTAAAAACAGTCGCAGACGATCCCAACGTTAGGACTGTTGGATGCGGACATTTTATCAGTATATGCAATAGACCTTTTGTTACTCTTTATCAACGAACGTTGGTTTGTTTATGTCGTTTTGAAATGTCAAGTTTTTTATGGCAAATTAACATTTTCTGCGCATTTTCACTCGAACCGATATTCTGTTTACCCCGTAAAGAAAGCAGTCGTGAGTATTTAGAAGTGTGTCAGCCATTCGTTAGGCACGTGATCGGATTATGTATATATATAATAATAGAAGATTAATATATTTCCATGCTTATTGTAATCGGCTTAAAAGATACAATAATCAACTCGATTCACGTTTGAAAAAACAAAAGTTTAATAACACTAGACGTTGTCTATAGAAATATATTTGACAATTTCCTATAATATGATATGAAAATGACTTTTATTCTATTCCACACGTTGGCGCTTGTACGCGATCTTAGATGGTAAAGGCCTTATCTTTGTAATGCCTGTATACTCTCACCTAAATCAGTGAAGAGTAGACTTTATTTTAAATACGAACTGTTTTAAATTAATCAAGTCAAAGAGGTATTTTAGGTAATTTATGACGATGGTCTCAACTCTGTAGGACAAATGAATAACAAATGAATAGAAAACTAGTTCTAAGATTTGTTCCCCGTTGTACGAATTGCTAGATAGTGACACTTTGTGCGAAATACAAAATGTGTACAAATAAAACCCTCCCACGACATCCCTTGATGTAGATGATCCCTTAATGATTCCGTCCATCTTAAGAGGTTACCTCGAATACTAAGTTCAAAAAAATATGGAACAATAAAATATGGCCTACTAGATCAAAAGGTTTCTAAAGGTCAGTATAGACCAGATCCACTTGTGAATCACCATCAATATTTTCGCTAACATTATCAATGGATGACGCTAAATATGTCGCTCTATACTTAGAGTGTCTCCCCACAAAGTTATGCCGGTCTGCAGGTATTGTATATCATGTTTTGCATTTATCTATTAATTAAAGATGCATATCTTAATACAAACATAGGTATATTGCTTTATAATTAAAAGCTGAACTACATTTTGTGTAGAGGATTGGCCGTGAACTCGTTTTGGATTTTTCAATTTTTTTTGATAACTCGTATTTCAATGGCGCATTTGGTAAGCTAAGCTCTGGCCTCGATTCTTGCCCGAGGCACATTTTTTTTTATGTGAAAAGTTGCCAAGCGAGCAGGCGGTTCACCTGATGTTAAGTGAATACCGCCGCCCATGGACATCTGCTACACGATATCCATGCGTTGACAACCTTTAGAAAATTGGGCTCCGGCCACCTTACTCACCAGGCGGAACGCGAAAGTATTATACTTCCACTTAACGCGGGTCTTCTGTGAGACCGTGGTACTTACCCGGACGAGCCTGCCCATTCGTGCAACAGCCGAGGCTGCTGCGTGGCGCCACCACAGTTGAACATATTGATATATACATTTTGTTTTATGTTAGAAGGTGGCAAGCCAGCTGGTTCACCTGATGTTAAGTGATAATTCCGGCGCCCATGGTCATTTGTAATACCCGTAGATGCCTTCCCTTTTAATACGCTGAAGTATAACACTTCCACTTGACGCTGATCTTTTGTGAGGTTTTGTACTTACCCGGACTGAACCGTCCATTCGTGCAATAGCCGAAGCTGATGCGCTGGCATACCATAGTTAGACACCAAATACGCTCTTTTTATGAGAAAATTTGCCAAGAGAGCAAGCGGCTCACCTGAAGTTAAGTGGTACCCGCCGCAATTGGAAATTTACAACTGGCTGGCTCGCAGATGCATTGACAACCTTTAAAAATTGGGGCCCGGTCACCTCACTTAACAGACGAAACGCTAAAGTGTACTACTTTCACTTCACGCCTTCTGCGAGGTACTTTCCCGGATGAGTCTGCCCATTCATGCAACATCAGAGGCTGCTATGTATGGCCATACCACAGTAAAAATCGTAAGCTAGTTCTTTACGTATGAAAACTTACTCCATATTTGTTTCATTACTTCAAGCACCCACAAGTTAATTGTAAACTCTCACCACGAATTAAATTTTAACCTTGGAAGCAAATACAAAGATTTACATCTTTGTCCGGTAGGTCATTATTGTGTTATTACATTGGAAACCTTCCACGGAAAAGGACTTGGAGTAGATGATGTGCTATTGGGAAGGATTTTTGAGGATTAAATTGTCATCGTAGCGGAGAGATCGGTCTGGGTGAGAATCACAGAAATACTCAAAGCGCTTCTTAGATACGGATGGGTAGTTGGATTGAATAGAACAGAATATAAGAGTGATAGAAGGTGAGTAATCCTGCGCAGCATTTTTATCTTAATGATATTGAGCTATTGATTATGAAAACAAATCTTGTTATCAAACCAATGTTGTGTGTTACTTACGTTAGTCATTATTTACACACAAATGTATGGGCTATTTTTGTAAATTCATGCGGCGCTTTTTTTTGGTTAAGTAATATTTTCAGTAATGATAGCCGGTAAGATTATTCATATAAAAAAGATTTTAAATACTACCGGTATTTAAAAACTTTTTTACACGAGCAATAAAGCTAAACGAGGCTGGTAAAATGCGAGGCTAATAACATGAGATTATTGTTACTTTTAGTTGTTATCCACCTCAAAAATTATTATAAATAATTAGATGGCCGTATTTATATTGGCAAAAATGATTTATATAGCGTTTTCTTAGGAAACTTCCAAGTGAAACTTCATAAAGAAAATCTGATGTAACATCGAATCGCCGAAATTTTGATCCAAACCGTTAAAGCTGTTTCTGAGATAACCTTAAATTTATATATACGAGTTATACTCTCTCTTATATATAAGTTGCATATTCAAAGGTCTTAGCAATTAAGCGGGATTCATTATTGTTGATATTTTAAGTGAAAATACCTAATTTTGTTATTGAGTTTTTTTAATATCCGGAGTAATATTTTAATCTCCAAATCTTTGTCAAAGCGAACAGCGGATAATAATAGTATGTCAACTTCGATTACAATATCTTTGAATGCTTGAATGGCTATCTTAAGGTAGATTAAGCATCGGCTTATTTACAAATTTATGGATTATTTATTATCATGCTGAATTTGCTCTCGTTTTTGCGCAATACATAACTCATTGAGAAGCAATGATTTTCAAAATATAGGTGTTCTATCAAGCATTCTACGCACAGTCATTCCTGTGGGTCCCTACAACGATTTCTTATAAATATTAGAATTATTCAATGCCACAGAAAGTGGCTATATGTTCAGATATAATATACATTTGAAACTGCTGTGAAACATTAGAGGCAATCGTTTTTGCTTTTATTTGTTTTCTCTAATCGACGCAGGTAGAGATAACATTGTTCCCTTTGAAAAAAAATCAATAACAATTTTCAATTACAAATAGGAGGGCAATTTACATAAAATAACAAAATGTGCCATATATTAGTGTTTCATTTTATTAGAATTATTTTATTGAAAGCACTGTGCAACTCTGTATAATTTCATTAATATAACTTTTATTGTGGTAGGGCCACGCAGCAGCCTCGGCTGTTGCACGAATGGGCAGGCTCGTCCGGATAAATACCACGACCTGACAGAAGACCGGCGTTAAGTGGAAGTATAGTACTTTCGCGTTTCGTCTGGTGAGTGAGGCAGCCGGAGCCTAATTTACAAGTTTAGTTTGTCAATGCATCTGCAACCCACGGGTGTAGCAAATGTCCACGGGTGGCGGTATTCACTTAACATCAGGTGAACCGCCTGCTAGCTTGGCAACTTTTCACATTAAAAAAGTCATTTTTCGTAAAGTAAGACAGTAAAGTGACAGCGTATACGTGTCTTCTGAACAGAGGGTTTATCGATTAGGGTATAGCGACCACACGACCCACTGCGGATTGACGGAATTCACGTACCTTCGAAATATTTCTTTGTTATTGCTAATTTCACCGCCGAGTACCTAATAAGTCAGCGTTTAAAATTAACGATTTCATCGTAGCCGACACCGTGATATGAACAAAGGTTGTTCGAGTATATTAAAAGCAAGCTCCCGGACACTGAGCTATCGCGGCCTTAGTCATTTTTACGGTTTCGTACCCAAAGGGTAAAACCGGACCCTATTACTAAGACTTTGCTGTCTGTCCGTCCGTCTGTCTGTCCATCTGTCACCAGGCTGTATCTCATGAACCGTGATTGTTAGAAAATTTCGCAGATGAGATATCGTCTATCACCAGGCTGTATTTCTGTTGCCGCCATAAAAACAGAATAAAAAAATATTTAAGAGGACCTCCCATACAACAGACATGATTTTTTTGCCGTTTTTGTAGATGATGTTACGAAACCCTTCGTGCGCGCGTCCGACTCGCACTTGGCCGGTTTTTTATTTGTACTCAATTACAACAAAGTTTATAGCGATGGCTTAGTCTGTGCAATTAAAAAATACCGTCTAATTCGCATCAGCGTGGGCGAGGGTTGAGTACAATTAACGACCCAAATTTGTTTTTATTCGTAATCCGTCTTTGCGAAAATTTTCCGTTTAGCGTGGAAATTTAAAGACTAACGCATTTACTTTGCATTTATTTAAAATTTGGATGGGGGCTTTACATTGACTCATTTTATAAGCGTCGGCAGATTTTTTGGTGATGGGGCCGATTTGTTAATTGAGCACATTTTCCTGTATATTGTAAACTATCCATCATATATGAAAATATATTTGTATCATTCACAATCATACCCGTCATCGATTGCCGATTAAAAGCCAGTAAATGGTTATTAGATAAGACGTTTTTATTTACATCGCTGAACGACAAGATTCTATGGATATAGAGCTATTTCTAACACTGCCCCAAGACGTACGATTCTAAAACGTCGTAAATTTAATAGTTGTGTTCTAAGCGGAGCCCAAATCAATTGAAAAAACTTACAAATGAAATAAATTACTAATTAAAATTTCATTTAAACTTAATCAGATTAAACTTGTAACGTACATTTTTACCTTATATCTTCAGCTCGTCTAGAACGAATTATTGCTTGTGAGTTAATGTTCATGCATTACCAAATACAATTGATAAAGTTACCGAATTAATTTTAAATTGCCTAATTGGAAAACATTAAAAAGAAGATTAAGTAAGTGACTGCACACATTCAGACAGGTTCTTCTCTGGGCAGGACTAGAGTTGTGAAACGTTGGTAGATTGAGACCTTAATGTGGGCTAGAACATTGTAGAATTGAATGAAGAATTTCTGGTTGTAACTTCGACGTACCTCTGTCGAAGTCGTAAGTTTGCCGGACGCCGTATGGATGGGGGACGTGCCTGGTGGCGGCCAATTGGCTGCGCAGTATGTGGTTCATGTCCATCAGCGGTTCGCTGTAGTAGGTGAACTCCATGGGGGATTGCCCTTCGCTCTGTACCAGGGGATCCCCGCCTTCACCGGCGTAGGCTGTAGCGGGTAGTTCATTCTCTGCTCCAAATTCACTCTTGTGCTAAACTCCGAACGCGCTTTCAACGCACTCTCCCTGTCTTCCCTCGTCTTCTCCGCCAGCCTCGCTCTGCAGACCTCCTTGGGTGCGATTGGTGTCCTGTGCGGCATCTTTTGGTCGGCGAGGATGTCCTCTATTAGGAAGGACTTCCTGTGCTTGCAAGCGCACATGGTGAGCGCCGGGCGGTTACTGCCGAATTCCTTATCGGCTATCGCTTCGGTCGCGCCCCGTAATTGATACGCCTGGGTTTGGACACGCTTAATCTTCCGTCGCGATAGTGCGAACACTTTGCGAGCGCTTTTTAAGCGTTGACAGCGGATTAGAGCTCGCCAGATAGCGGGCCATATCGCTATTAGCTATTAATTAGCCCATTTGTGTAACTGTAGAGCATCCGACGAGACGCTTTTGCCAATTTGTGGAAGGGCAAGCGGTTCACCGAATTTCTAGCGATTACCGCCGCCGATGGTTAGAATCACAACGAAATCATAACTGCAAGCGTCTAGGGTAAAAAAATTAGCGAACTGGTTCGCCTGATGTTAAGTGATTACCCGTGGAAATTTAGAATACTTTTAGGGTCACAACTGCCTTGACGCCTTTCAATAAAGTAGCCCCAGCTCTCTCACTCACCAGATGAAATGCAGAAGTAAAATTTCCACTTCACGCCGGTCTTTTGTGAAGGCGTGGTACTTTCCCGGACTGACCTGCCCATTCGTGCAACAGCGAGACCTATGTATTCGTTATAGGTATTTCTCAACTTCTAAGTCAAGCGGGAGGTTGAGGGAAGTTATGAGTTAGGTAATCAAAGACCATCAGTCCAGTTGTATATATCTCAGTTAATATCGGGAGAACCGCTCTTGTCATACCTTTGCCATAGACTTATCCGTTAAGAGTTATCCGTTTAAATTATATGTTTTACTATCAATAAACTTAGTCGAAAGTTCTGTCGTTTATCGTTAATTGTGCAATTATAGTCTAGTTTTTGATTTACAATACCTGAGTACGCTTTTCCTGTTTGCGTAATAAGGGGCTATGTTTTTTTATAAGGACCTTATTTAAGGTGCAGAAAAAAACATAGCCATCACGCCACCCAGAAACTGCGTAGCAATTATTTGCGGGTCCATCGCTACATGATCCGTATCCGCTGACCCATCAAAGCGATTTGGACGATTCAAAATCGTAGAACGTTCCGTACACGTCTAATAAAGCGGAACGAGGTCCGGCGTACCGCTCACGGTCGCAGTAACATCATCATCAAAGAAATAACCCTCTACATGGTAGATAAAACGATGCCACAGTCCAACCGAACAACAGAGCATTAATATACGGAAAAATACGTTTTCAATCGACTTCCAAACAGGAAGATATTCTCAATTAGACTGTATTTTGTTTTGTTGACTTGTATTTAAGCCTTAAAATCATTTTATTTTACCTTGTACAAAAGAAAATCACAAAAGTTTTGACTACAACGAATTACAGATGGCGTTTATACGTCTTTCTTCCCCTCTCATATCTCCATTTCCTTATCCTTTCCATTATTTTCTTCTTAAATTACTACTAAATTATTTAAAAAAAATTTAATCGTTTCACGTAATAAATGTAATAAATATATGTAATTCTTTTTGACCTCTCATAATCATTATCAATATTGAGTTCGGTTTCTTTCTTTGACAATTAACATTACAAGAAGCCTAATAACGACAATAGCAGGGTGTGCTTCGACAGTGTATTTAGTTCTTAATGAAAAATATCTTTACAGATAATGTATTCAACATAACCATATATTATGGAAGAAACTACGAGTTCAAGTCATTGATTAGTTTTGTTAAGATTTTGTGAAATTCGTTGATGCAATGTTTATTTATGTTGCATTACTCTGTGGTTCGGCCAGACTTGTGTCTACTCAAATGGATTCCTCTTGAAAAACAAAGGGGTGAATTCGCGAGCGCACCTTCCCTCTTAACGCCGGTGTCCACACTTTGTGAAATTCAATTAAGTAGGTAAATAACAATAAAATTTATGTTTTGATACTTTTCTTATGTTTTGATCGACTGAAGTATTCGACAAAAAGTAACCGTGACTAGAAATTCGAATATTCTCGAAATATTTAGGGAAAACAACATTTTGAAGGCATGTCTTCTTCTTCTTCTTCTTCTTTGATTAATGGCCTCTCTTAAAAGACATTTGAGTCTTCCAATTCGCAATCCAAGTGACATCTGTTACAGATAAGGCCTTTGAATTCAATGTCAATTGTTGCAGGTAAAAAAAAAATATTCGTAGCTATGCTACTCGTAAGAACCTTTTCATAATGAATTACGAAACCCATTAAACAATTTATGCACAACTTCTAATCTTTTTACCTAAAAACATTAATTCTATGTACTTGTATAAAACGGTTTATTTCCCCGTACATCGTAACACAGTACAGTACAGAGACAAAAGCGAACAGTGAATTCAGGACAAATCTTTAGTTATATCTTTGAAGTTGTTTCTTGACTGATATAATTCTTTAATTTTTTTAAATTATTGATCTGTTATAGTAATTGAATAAATCTTCTGAATTATTGATATCTTCATTGGTTTCAAATTTAAAATAATTATCTATACATACATTAGTAGGTATTGGACTGATAGTGTAAGTGTGGTATTAAAAAAAACTAAGTCAATAAATAGTTTAGTTTAATTTACAGATGATAACTGTCGTAGATAAACTCATTAATCTGGAAAGCTTTCTCCACAAGGTAAATCTTTGTGCAACAAAGCATGTCCCGGTGACCGCTAAACGCGTGCCCACCCCACCGGGGCCCTCTTCTCCTCGTAATTAATGGGTGGAGTTTTTCTACCTTTGTTACGGAAGGGCGGCTAATTGTCTCAAATTAATTGGACCCGGCGTATTTTTAAACCCTCCGTTCCCTTTGTTCGGCGCGGCCGAGTGCACCGTCAGTGCGTGCGCTCAACTAGCTCCTATCTTAGGTGACATAAGGACATAAGGGATATAATCCCGCAAACAGGGTTACTATTGGCGCGAAAGCTGCGTCGCCCGCCGTACGGCGCGCTCAAAAGAGTTCCGAATCTGTCGATTTGCGGCCGCTCTATGATTTGCGAGTTTGTGCTTAATTGCTTCGCAGTTTTCTCTTGTCCCGTTTTGTTGTCGTCGGCTCTTTAATGCGTCTACTTGGGCCATAAAGCCGAATGGAAGCCAAACACGCCATCGGAATACACAATCGAGATGTTTTAAAGGCATTATGTTTGTTCATGTCCTTTCCTTGAATTGGTATTAATTGTTTGTTCATGTTCGTTTCTTGAATAGAGACTATTTTATATGTTATTATTTGTCATGGCAAATTATTTAACGTGCTTTAAGAATAGAGGCTTCAGTTTGTAAAATTTATGAATTCGTATATTAATTCCCTATGAAAATCATCATCGAGCTTTTATCTTCTCTGTTGACGATATGTAATGATGATAATCATTTTCCAAGTCTCTTTTAGTGTTTCAACTTTTCCAACAATTTTTTTTTGTAAAAACTGGTCAGTGCTTTACCCACCTTACTTGAACCCATGGTATTCGTACCTAGAGTCTAATACTACCGCTCCAACGCACGCGTCACATCACAACATGAATTATCATACCGGAATGACCCGCGACAGATAATCTAAACGCGGGAGAATCAATTAATCTGTCCATTTATTACTCTAACATAACACCGTGTAATCGACGTCCGCATAAACAAGCGATGCGTCAAATCCGCCACGATCCCTATACATGGCCGGTGTGACAAAGGCATCGCCCCATCTGAGGGTATTGACGCGCCTTTGTACATCGAACACCGAACAATAACAGACCGCGGAGTATTGTCACGGTGTCATGAATCAGCGGCCGCCGGGCTGAATCGATATAGATAATGGCCGATTACTTAGGGCGAGCTGACAGCCCTGCGGGATTAGGGACGTCACTCGATCAGATTGCGTATCGATACGTTTTGTTTATTTAACGGCTACCGGTTATTTGGGACGGTACTGTTGATATAATCAAAAAATACGACACTCGTGATATTAATATTTGGGCATGTTGCCTATGTACGCAATATGGGTGTCTGCGCTGGAAGTGCTATACTTCCGCGTTTCGTGTGGTGAGCGAGGTAGCCGGGGGCCACTTTGTTATAAGGTGGCAACGCATCTGCAACCCTACGGGTGTTGCAAATGTCAATGGGCGGCGATTATCACTTAACCACCTTCTCACATAAAAAAACGTTATTAGACTGTTATCGATGGTCGAAGAATTTTTTAGAACCAAGAACGTAGTAAGGTTTAAGGATGTCCGTCATTCGACCTAGTAACAGTAACAGTTTTAACAAAAAGGTGAATTCTTTCCATCTAAATAAATGATGCTCTCTGTGTGATGTTTCGAAACATCTTTACCTATTAAAACATGTAGAAAAAGTACGAAAAGACTGTCGCCGCTGTGGGAATCGAACCCACGTCTTCTGCATTCGCGGCCTGACGCTCTACCCACTGAGCTAAACGGCTGATAGCCACAGTGACGAAAATCTTTACCTAGTTCATTTTGTGTTCAAACAGGTGCATTTGGGTTACACATACACATATAATCCATACCTGTATTTCATATTCTATATTATAACACATTTTAAAAAGAGGTAAACTTATTTGTTTTTACATGACGATGCTAAATTATTATTTTGATGAAAAATTGAATCATCGTATTATAAAAGGTACTATCACTTATATTGAAATGGATGGAAGTCTGAGAAGTTGACATATTTGACAGAAAGAAAGTAAAATTTTCAAATATGTCGGCACGTTGACAGTCATTATTCTGTAACAATTTATTTTTGGTGTAAGAAAATGGCAAGCGAGCTGATGTAAGTGATAACTGTGCCCGTGTACATTTGCAACAACCGTAGGGTTGCAGATGCCTTGCCAGCTTTTAATAAAGTGGGCCTTGACTACCTCACTCACCTGAAGAGACGTAGAAGCATAACGCTTCTACTTCACGCTGGTCTTCTGTGAAGTCGTGATACAAATGGGTGGAGGAAAATGAAAGATATTAATTTTATGTGCTCACACGGTATCTGACGGTAGCGTTTTGACGTGGCAACCTTCAATCCCTAATCTGACAACCAGGGAAGGCAGTTACCGCTTAATTATAACAGAGCCCTTTAAGTTAGGAACAGTAACAGGTGATATCGTCTATAATTGTGAGTGTTTTATTCACACAAGCATGCCCCATTAAATTAATATATTGGACTTGATCTTATAACCTTACACAGTTAATCCAACAATTCCCTCCACTAGGTTATCGATGACTTTCAAATAATTCGGATTTACTAAGTCAGTAACAGCGCAAGTGGTTAATTAAGGTACGCCATTTAAGCCAACAGGTTCTGCCCCCATGTCGACTTTAAAAATATTATTACGGACCCGCTCTTTAATTTGTTTTATAGGTGCAATAAGGAACACGCGTGTGGTCCTCTTAATTGATTACGGGCCCCAATTATTGCAGTCGTGACAATGGTTGTAATTAACACGGGGCCTTTAATAAAATATTGCTTTCTTTATCTGTAACTTTATAATTAACGATGATTAAGATCTCGCGACGGGACTGTATACACTCTAAGGCCCCTTGCCTCTATGATACTACCAAATAAAGAAAAAAAATCTATGACACAAGTACAGCCAAAGTTATCGTTAAATAACTCGCTAAACTTTTGTACATAAAAGTGTGAAATAAGTTTAATTAAGACTTTAGTTATATTCTGTTAAGCAGGCACAGAGCACCTGCTGTTGTTCGAATGGACTACGGGCTTTACAGAGAAATAGCAGGTTTAATCTAATAAATATTGATAATGTATCTT